TGTCCATTTTGTATCTGTGTATTCAAAGTGGTTAGGATAGATATACAGTTACATTCTCTTAGTGAATAGAGGGATTTGTTCTAAAGGTGTTTGTAAATAGGATATCAAGTCCACATCTTGTACAGCAATTAACCACTAGAAAGAATGTATGCAATGTGTTAATTATTGAAACTGTCCTACCAATTTGGTTTGAAACTGTCTCATTGCTATATGTTTCTCAATAAAATTATGACAAAAAATAAAAGAAGTAAAAAAGAAATAAACCAGACCCACATGTGTAAATATTGTACAGTCTCCCTAGTGCAATAACTCAAAAGAAGAAATATAAGCAGAAAGGTATAACACAATTAAAAGGAAAGCGAGAACTTGAGGATTAGACAACGAAGAGAGGGCAAGGAGAAAACCTAGGAAACATGACAGAGGCAAAGCCATACATTTATATGCACAAGATGGGTAACGTAATGTTCCTCAGAATCCTCAGCAGGTTTTCGAAACCGGAATCATTTGGTGGTTTTCTCACCCTGAATAGATCTATATGCTGATACCTGTGAACTAAGCAATGGCACTGAAGATAACAATGTGTAATGATAGGCTCATGCTCGGAATGTGTCATTTTGGTCCTGTAAATACATACTGCTTGGCATGCCATACCAATTACTGCCATACAATCTCTCAAGTAAATGTTGCTTTAAGAAAAAAAGGATAACCTACCTAAAAGGTATTTTTTGTTTGGTTGGTTGTTTGGTTGATTTGGGTTTTTTGTTGTTTTAGTTTCGTGGGTTTTTTCCCATTTAGGTATTTGATACAGAGTCTCACTAGGCAGCTCAGACTGGTAGTGATCCTCCTGTTTTCAGCCTCGCCATCACTGGGAGTAGAGGTGTGTGCCACCTGCCCAGGCTTAGATCCCCAGCTCAGCACAACCCTAGAGCAGTGCAGGCACAGCATGAAGGACCAGGCACATACCCTGTGCCCTGTGCTTGCCAAAGCAGACCCTTAGTCCACTGAGCTGTCTCACCAACCCAAGCATGTGTTTCTTAAAAGTGACACTCCTCTCATCCTAGATGCACTCTGAATGTGCTCTTATCTTGGTATAAGAGCTACCTCTGACCCATGATAGTAAAATATTTCATTCTGTTCAAACTGGAGCAGAAGCTACTATGTATCACCTGTCACACTGAACAGGACTAGAAAGATAACTTATCAACAGATCCTTTTCAACAGGCCAGAGGACGACGTGGGTGGATCTTACTATCCTGAAGCAATGGAGAAATCTAGAGGCCAGCAGGAGCAAAGAATCATCAAAGGGAATTGAAACCATTAAGGGAAGTGCTTAAAATATAACCAGATTCTTCCTTACTGAGATTTCACCACCAATTGTACTGTAAACAGGGAAAGAATAAAGTGGCCCTCTGTTCCTAAGGACAAAGCAAACCCTCTGCTTGTTGTCTGGCTGGAAATCACACCAATAAGTGGCATACGACTGGCTCTGTCCTGTATAAACAGGAAGTAGAGCTTTCCACAGGGAGTGAAAGGAATTCCTTAGCTCATATCCTGACAGACTGCACTGGTTTGGATTTAAGCTCAGAGGCCTTTGGATCCCACAGTAAGCAGCCCCAGCAGAGAACTTCAGTCACCTATGAGCTGATTTCCCCAACCAGGAGCAAGGTTCCCAATGAAAAGATTCCAAGAGGGAGGTAAGGAATCTTCCTACAGGTCAGCAAAGTACAATGCTACAATGGGGTAGGTAGGATTGTGATAAACGCACTAAAATACTGTATTTACTGCGAAAAGGAGAAAAGCTAAGACTAGTGGAGTTAGAAAACATGTTGGACGACTGGGAGCGTCGTCGCCTTGGAGAAGTGACTGGCGGGCTGGCGTAGTCTGGAGAATCAGTAGTGGTACCTGGCGTGATGGTGGGGTGGGTTACCTCATGACCCCAGCGTTGCTGCGCTGGGG